CCGGCACCCTGTCTCCACCGCGTGCACAGCCAGCTCACAGCACCAGCACCAAGCACCGGCAACCTGTCTCGAAAGCTCGCACAGGCAGCTCATTGCTAATTTGAAGTAAGAACCCCATAGCTTCCCTATCTGGGAACTCATTTTTTTGGAGTTTTCCTTTTTTATATGATAGCAGTGGCCTCCAACCTAGAAGCGATGGCCTCCAACCTAGAAGCAATGGCCTTGAACCTAGAAGCGATGGCTTCAAATGAAAGGCACGGGCTTTTGTCTCGGCAAATTTGCACATCGCCACTATTGCAGCCGCTATGACTTCAGTGCTACGGACTTGGAAGTCTACGCCTTCGACGACGGCTTCGTTGCCGGGCCAGCCGGTGGACAATACCAATCATCCACCATGGATGTAGGGTCGCTGGCTAGTGGCAGCTTGACGGGGACCACGCACACCTATTCCACCGATAAGGCTTACCTGGCCCTGAATATGAATGCTGGAACTGGCGTTTGCTTCGGAGATGCGAGCAAAGGAGGAGATTGCTCCCAGATTGACTTCACCGGTGTGACCAGCGTGCATGCCACGGAAGGAGCCTTCTTGGCTTTCAAGAAGGCTTCGGGTACCGCCACTTGCTGGGGGGACATCGACTGCAGTAGTGTGGACTTTACCGGCGTCACAGACGTTTACTCCACGATCCGTGCCTTTCTCGCCCTGAACCGCAACAGTGGAACGGGTGTTTGCTTTCCAACGGATGCCAGCGATGATGATTGCTCACAGATCGACTTCACTAACGTCAGCCATGTGCTTTACACTCGAACAGGCTTCTTGGGCATCAAGTCGGATCAGCCTGATCGGCTCAGTACGGCAGGATATCGTGATCACTTTAACCCCTTCGTGGTTCCGTCATGAGTTTTGTTTGATTTTCTCTAAAAAGCCCCACAGGGGAGACAACAGCATGTAAAGATGCACTGACTGCCCAAAATGGCAGTGGCTTGCCTGCCATGAAAAACAATGTTGCTGGGATTGGCTTTCTCACACCTGTTTTGTTCATAAGTTTGCTTCATAAGCTTGGCCCAGAGTCAGAGACATGCATGATTATACGTAATGCTATCAAGTGGCAAGATACAGGAGCTTCTTTGAATGCGCGGTACATGGCCGTTCATACCTCAGGTGGTGGTTGTCTCATCGAGAACGTTCGTGCCTTAATCAACATCGTGGTCAGTGGCTTCTGATTTGCGATCAGAAAGACCTTTCAATGTGCAGAACCGATGTGTTTCTTTATTTTCCGTTGTGCGAGTCTGCTTCTAGGCGTCTTTGTCTCCTGCCAAATCCAAAAAGATCCAAAAGGTTGTGAAATGATACGCTTGAGACATTTTGAGACTTTGTTGTAGAACTGTATACATCTAATCAGTGTTGATAGAAACCAAGGCCGAGGGTCTCCGAATTCAGACTTCAGACTGTTGCTCGCCAACCTTTGTTTCAGGCCTCCTACTCAGAGCGACTAGGAAAATGCAGGTGTGCAACATGTATATGTAGCAGTTGGAGTGACTACTGAGTCTGCAGGGAAACGCAGGGAGTTCCGCATGTATATGATGTAGCAGTTGCATCGAAGCAAGCTGGTGTTGCTCTTTTTCTGACGTTCTCAGAGTCCTTGAGGGGCAGAGCTCCTCTTTCGCTTGGCCAAAAAACCTGTGTGTTTAGTGAAAGCAACCGCAGCTGAAAAGAGAGGAAGGGAGTCTACCAAGCTCTGTTTTTTTCCCCACAGCTGATGGAAGTGAGACTCAGGTTCGTCCTGTTCGTCCATCTCATCATCTTTTTTCCCTTTTTGTGGTCCCCACCGTGCTCAGCTGGCTCGTTCTGGCGAAACGTGCGAAACGCTCGGACCCAAGGACCCACGGCCCCACGCCAACGTGGCTCGGTCCGAGTCTCAAGAGTCCAACGTGCGCAACGGTTGCTGTCAGACGTGGGTGAGTCCGTCAGACGTAGTGGTGCTTCCTTCACACGATTCTTTTCATGCATCGTGGTGCTTCCGATTCGCTTGTTTTTTTACTACTTTTTGCAGATTGCGACCCTTGTTTGGCTCTGGAATCATTTGATTCATTCATCGTTTGGTCACTTGAGCAGTTTGTGGTGTGGTCATGCTGATGTCTGCCAGCATAGTTATCTTAAATTTATCCAATGAGGAGCACAGCACAGAACGTCAATTCTTTTCAACGTTGGCATCATGTCCAAGACATTTAGAAGCTTCGTTGCATAGTTGTTCATTACAGAAGCCGCATAGTTCATGACTTCATCGCGTCGAACATCGTAGGACGTTCTGACACTTGCTTCGCAAAGATGGATGTACAGCATTTGTCCAAACTGGATGCAGTGCGTGGGCATTACAACCAAGAGCTCCACTCATGTGTGGCTTTTGGTGACTTGATTCGATTTCTCTTGTGGCTCATGGCGGGGGCAATCTTGCAGTCCGTGTCACAAGAATGGTTTCATCAGTCTTACGATCACCGGAATCTCTTGTCAGATCCATTGTGGTGGATAGTGAGCATGGCGATGTGTGCGGTTTTTGTAGCTGTTTCAATGAAGATTTGGTGGCTACTTAGCTTAAGCATGGGGGGCCTGTCTTGCTTGTTGATCAGCAACTTGAGCATCGAGCGTCAATGGAGAGGCTGCAGGCATGAATATGTGGAAATTGCATATGTCATGACTCAGAGGTTTGCAGCTGTCCTTGGCCCTTTTGCGGCCTGGTGGGTAACATGGACCTCACAAGCAATGGACCGTGTCATTGAAGAGCCCCCGCTGAAGGCATCTGGTTGTAGCAGATGCGCCAGTTTCTTCTTTGGCTTTGGTCGAAGGCATCAGTACCATCATGGCAGGTTGGGATGCTGTGGGAGGAGAGACAGGCCCGCTCTGCGCTTGCACATCAACGAGGATTCGGAGTGCTTCTTCTTCCGGGATGATGGTTGTGGGCATCTGCGTTTGCATCATAACAGCTTTTCCTCAGACTCAGCTGCCTCCGAGGATGAAAGTGATTCAAGTAGTGAGGAGAGTTTCTTTGCACAGGAGGGGAAGATGGTGACATTGATTTACAGTCGAAGCGGCGACCACCTGACTTGCCGACTGCAGCATCTCGATCATCTCGGTCCCAATGCAGGGCAACTTATTTTTACTGCGAATGAGGAGGAAGACAAGAAAGCACTTAGGATTCTGAAGTCTGACCAGCCGCTTCTGATCTACTCTCCAATGCAAGGTGGATCTGGAGTGCTTCTGCACAGAGGCGGAGGCTGCATCCAAACAAGAGTTGACCGCTTGGTGGGTATGCAGGACGCTGCATTGCAAAAATACTGCTGCTGCAATTTGCACTGTGCCTTGGCCCTTTGTCTATTCTTGATCATGTACGCCTTTGCACTGTGTATTGGAGGAACCGGTTATCCAGGATATGCCGCCATTGTGTTTCTCCTACTTCCTGAACTTGTGGACGATTTTCTACCAAATGCGACAACCAGTCCAAGCAAGTCACACCTTTATGATGGCAAGCTGGATACTGAAATTAAGGTCACCTTCAACCAGGGATGGACATGTGTGAGTGGAGCCGATCAAAGCGGGAAGGACTACATGATTGAGTTTTCCGCGCTTTGGGCGGCCACCTTTATTTTGGCTTGTTGTACCATTTCATTGATCTATGGTTGCTACTACCTCCACAATGCCAGCGATTTCTTGGGCATGCTCAATGACTTGCTCTGGAGGCGTGCCGGAGCGAACTACAGGACATGGCGGCTCAGGAAGCTCCACAGCATTCGTTCCAGTGTGGAGAACAAGAGATTCTTGGAGTTCTTGGCTCAGGGCTCCTTGCCAGGGCTCACGATAGAGGATGATGACGAACTTCAATGGTGGGTCGATACACGCGCGGCTCTCTTTGAAGATATACGTTTCAACCTGGAGAAAAGGAAACCCATCTTGGGCCTGTGCTTGCTGGCAGAACTGATGCTGATAGTTGTAACCATTTTGTCGCTGCTTCTTCACGAGAATGACTTTGCCCTCACCTGCTACGCTGTGACTTATGGCTGTGCCTTAGGCATCTTGACTTTGCTCTGTATATTTCTCTGTAGTCAAGTCAACGAGAAGCTACGCCATTGTACGTCCATCATGCGTGGGACTGAAGATGCGGAGGAGGACGTGCCAAGAGAGGACATGCCTAGAGCATCTTTGCTCTTGGGTACTGAGCCCAGCAGCATGCCTTTCTCAATCACGAGCGATCGCATCCCCTGCAGCTGAAATTTTTAGGGTTTCCATTGAATTTCAATGTCTTCAAGATCTATGCAGCTCCAATGGCAGGCTACTTAGTGACCCTGGCCTGTTGGTTTGCCCAGCAGTTGGTCCAGCCGTTCTTTCAATTCAAAAGCTAGCTGCCTGTAGCTGGTGCTTTGCCAGCCCGTGGTGGGAGGCTGCTCCTGATCTATCTGGGGTCCAAATCGTCCCCAGAGTTTAATTTGTGTCCTCAAGGGTTGGGGTTTTCTCCACCGCGGGGCACAGTGAGGTCTCAAAACACCGCCGCAAACGCCAGGTTCCGTGCGGCCTTGGCCTTCGTTTCGGATCGCCAGCAACGTCAGGGTGTTCGACCGGTCTCGACCCGACCTGTTCGGCGAATCCCCGGCCGCTTGGAGGACGCGTTGCCGTCGTGAACTCAGGGCCGGAGCTCCCCTGGCCGACACCGACGAGGCGGGCGTTCCGGGTCGTCGTGGTTCCGACGTGGCTGGTGGCCGGATTTGCCAGAGGTCTCGTGATCGAACTCGCCTGCGGTTGCGCAGCAACAGCTTTGTTTTGGCCTGCCCTTCTGATTCTCTCGATTTATGGATGTTGTCTTTCTAAAATCACTGCATAGTTTTCCATAGCACACTTGTGACTTGAATTGGTCTCCACTCGAGGACTTGAACTTCAGCAAACTTAGTTTCGTGGATTACTTGGAACGTGGATGGTCGATCCCATATCATAGCATATCATAGCAGCATCCTCCGTTTGCGAAACGCTCCGTCCTCACACAAGACTTGTGGCCAGAATAAATTCGCACCATGAACCAGCAACACCCTTAGGATGGTTCATTAGATGGGGGAGGTCAAGCAAGCCACTGGAACTTGGGCGGATCTTCTCCGAACCAAGTGCTAACGACGGTGCTTTCGGTGCGGAACACCGTCGTTCCACGCGTCGTTCGCCAGGATCATCGACCGCCGACAGGCCGACGTCCTGGCCTCCCCGAAGCACTCGCCGCAGCCGGCGGCGTTGGGACGCAAAAAGGACCTCCCGAAAGCACGCACCGCCCAGCTGCTGAACTGGTGCTTGTAAGGGCAGTAGCTTCGGGTCTGCTGGCAATTGCTGCAGTTCAAGATGCGATGCTTGAAAGGATAGCTGTAGATTGAAAGGATTCGAAGGGAAGGCACTCTGCACTTGAAATGATTAACCAAGTGCTCTGAATACTCTACTTTTGGCTGATGCAGATATATTAGCACAGGTTGTTTGCCCATGGGCAAAAACAATTGACATCAATGAACATTCCAATCATTTCGACACAAACCTTCACCATAGTAGTCACCACAGTAGTCACCGAAACCAAACCACCGCGCCCCACTGAAAAACCAAACCACCGCGCGCCGAGCCGAGAGCGCGCGCCCACGCGGGAGCTCATGGACGCCGTTTGGCAGACTTTCCAAAACTCCTTGGGAGCTGATGGCTCCCTTACCCGGGCTGAGATGCAAGGCAGTCTTCGGTGCACGGCGGAGGGACAACTCCGCACGGGGTGTGTGTGTGGGGTGTGTAGAGGAGCCGTGTGGCTTGCTCTGGAGGCAGTTCCATACCAACCCTCGAGAAACAGGGTGAGCAACCACTTTTATTTAGGCTTTACTAAAGTAGTCTACGTC